TTATTATATATTTGAAGTAAAATAGAATTAGAATCAGACTAGAAAAGAATATATTTTTTAGTTTATTCAAGACTATTAAATAATCTAATATCTTTTATATTAATTAATTCAGAAACTATATTTCTTTTAAAATATTTCTGATAATCTATTTATAAGAATTAGTACAGCCTAAATTTCTTATATATTTTATATAATTATTAAGAACTTTTATTTTTAAATAAACTAAATCTTTATTAAACTTATCCAAATCTCTTTTTCTATTTATTTAATAAATTTAAGATATTTATTTTTTTAAACTTATTTTTTTTAATTTTCAGATATAGTTCTGCTTTATGTAGCTTAATAAGAACTCTTTATATATATTTTTAATATTTCTTTAGAAAATTACTTAAATATATAAATATATTATCTATATAAGCTAAATAGAATCTATTAAAATATTCTTTTAAAATTTAGTTAATAAACTTCTCAAAGATATTTAAAATATTAATAAAATTAAAAGAAGTTATTAATTATTTATATAATCTATATCTTATATAAAAGACTATCAGCTATTCTTAATTCTTAGTAATTTAGATATAACAAAAAATAAACAATATTAAATTTAATAAATTATTTAATCTGTCTAATCTATTTAAGTATCTTATAAATTAAAAATAAAACATATTAATTTTTTTAGTAATAATATTTAATATATAATAATTTATATAAAAACGGAGTTCTTCTTTAGATTTTTATAAAAAGAAAAATAAATATTATAATAAATAAATAGCTTATTTAAATAAAGTTTTCTATTTAGTAATTTCCTTATCTATTTTTATAATATTAACAATTTATTCTGAGATATATTATATAAAAGATCTTATTATATTTAAGAATTTCATCTATTTTCTTTAAATTAAATTAATTTTATAATTTATATTTTTATTATAGTAGAGTAGTAGTATATCCGCGGATAGAGATTTAAAAAATCCAAAATATATAATAATATTTTACTAATTTTATTCAAGAATTAATAGATAGTTTTAGAATAAAAATCTTCTAAATATTACATATTATAACAGTAAATATTTGTATATTTTTAATTTTTATATATTAATATTATTATATATATATATATATTTAAAACTGCCCGTAAGATTTAAATAATCTTTATTTTTAATTTATTTCTTAAAACAGACTGTATAATTTTAGTTTTAATTATATAAAAATATAATTATATTTGCTTTAGCTCTAGTTATATATTAAAGCTTTTTATTTAAAATAATTATAGAATAAGATTATATCTGAGTTTATTTAATAAAATATAAAAGAAGATTTTTGTCAAGTATTTATTTAAATTTAATTAAATCTATATAATATATATTAGATATTTTATTTATCTAGAAGCTTTTTTTATTAATTAGAGAGTATTTTTATTATTAGTAATTATTTCTATTATAAAAATATTTTATTAATTATTTTATAGCTTAAACAGCTGCTATTTATTAATTTTTATACTGTAATAATATAGTCTAGTAGTATTTATATTATATAAAAAAAAACTATTTATATTTATTTTCTTAAAATATTTCTAATTAAATAATATTCTTTTATTATTAATATTTGTTAATATATAACTTTGTATTGAATTTATTCTTTTTTAAATTCTTCTTTTATTTAAGACTTTTATAGACTTTAATATAGTTATATTATTTAATTTATTTTTATAAATATATATAAAAGATTTACTGCTCTTATATTAAAGCTAGAATTTCTTTTTATTTTTAAAATTACTTTTGTAAAACTTACTATAAGATTATATTTTTTTAAGAAAAGTCTTTTTCTTTTATAATTTTTAAACAAAAAATTATAATCTAGATTTTAAAAATTTTAATCTTAATTAACATAGTTTTATAATTTATTTTATTTAGATTACTTTCTTTTATTATAAATAAAAAATAATTCAAGTAGTAAAAGTTTTATTTTAGAGTATTTATATAATAAATATTATAATTAATCTTGAAAAATTAATTATAGTATTTTCTATATAGATTAATTTTTTTTATTTTAATTCTATTTTTAATAATTATTTTATAAATAGCTATATTAGATTTAGCTTTTTTCTAATTCTTTAATAAGCTAGTATTATTAATAATCAGAAAGATCTTATTATATTCTTTAAGAAATACTTCTAAATTTTCTTTTTCTTTTTTTATTATTATAATTAATATAAAAGTCCTTTTTAGATCTAGTATTCTAAATAATTAATTTATTAATTAAAATAAATTATCTTATTATATAATCTTATTTATCTTTTATTTAAATATAATTTAAAAAGATATATATTATCTAGATTTTCTATAAAGATTATTATCAATATAATAAACCTTTTCTATTTTATTTATAAAATATTCTTTAAAAAAGATTTCAGAATCTGAAAAATAGGTTGAAAATTATATAATTAAATATCAAAAAAAGTAGCACTATCAATATAAGTAATAGTATTAATTATTATTATAGATTTTTTAATAAGATTTATAGCTAAGTTTAATAAATTAAAATATTTAATATTTATAAATAAATTTACAAATTTACAAATTTATAATATTAAATTTTTATTATCTAATTTTCTTATTTTTAATAATTAAAGTATATTTATTAACTATTTAAATTTATTTTTAAAATATATATTATTTATATAAGTTCCTAAATAATATTCTAATTATTATAAATTATTATATTAAGAACACTGGCTATTTTTATTTATTAAATAATTCTTAATTCTTAAGAGATTTTCTCTTAATAATAATTAATTTCTAATATTAGAGAAATAATTATATTATACTAATCTGATAATTAATTATTTATATAAAAGAAATTAATAAAAAAATAAAATAAAAATATTTGAAATATATCTTTTTATTTCTTTTTATATAGTACTATTTTTTGCTTTATTATTATTTTAATATATCATGCAGGCATTGCTAAGCATCTTGGGATTTGGAGGATTTATACAAGAGCCCCATAACAACAAGCAAGACAGAAATTAAGTTACTTTTCTTTGTCTTTTTATTTAAATTAGGCTTGGTGGTAGACTTAGCAGAATAAAAGCTATATCCATAAAACATTTGTTAAAAAAAATGAACAAAATTAAGATTTTGAATATAAGAATTTTACAAGATTTTTTATAATTATTTTAATTATTTATAAAAGAATCAAAAATATTTTATTTAATAAAATCAGAACTCTTCAGATAGTCAGAGTATTTTAAATCTTTAAAATACTTGACTAGTACTCAAGAATTAATATCAGAATTAATAGTTTTGAAATAAAGTAAAATAAGCACTTGAATATATACTTTAATAAAATAATATTAATTCTTTATAATACTTATAAAAAGAAAGAACAAAAGACAGACAGATTGATAGATATATAATTATTAATAAAGAAATAAGAGATTAAACTACTAATCTTTTATTAGAAAAATAAAATAATTAGACGGAATAGGTTTATATTTGTTTATTTTTATAATAATTAATAAAATTTAACATCTTGCTGAATAGTTGATAGATTATATAAATTACCAGAAGACAGTCTAAAAGTCAAATACAGCCAAGCCGCTAGTGTCTGTCAATGACTTTTGAAACTCACCTCTGTACCACCGAATTAGTCCTTGTACAGCCAAAGCGACAGGAATCCCCTACAACTAGGAATCCCCAGTTCAGCAGTAGATAATAAATTACAAATATAATTTACTAGCTGCACTGGACTATATAATATAGCAGCTAATAAGATAATATAATCAAGTCATATAAAGAAGAATACATTATAACCTATAGAAAGCAAATACCCCACTACAGCTATCTAGGCTAGTAGTTGTAAGACACCAACCTAGAGGAGTTGTTGCCACCGAGCCAAAAGGCTAACATTAGTTACCCGCAGTTACCTGCGGACCGCTAGAATCCCATATATATACTCAAGTACACCTGGGAGGAGGTGGACTTCACCCTTGTATGCATATCCCGCGGACATCCTTCCTTACAGTAGTATAATAACTATATTATATTGCAATAAAATAACTGAATTAATTAGATTCAAGGTTAATATTTTACATAAAGTATGCTTTTTTACTCGAATAAATATATAAAATAAGAAATAGTAATATATAATATATTTAATCTTCTAATATTATATATTGAATATTAAATATTATAATTCTATTTTAGAATCAATTCTAATACTCTATAACATGGAAAAATTGTTTTATTATAAATAGTAAAATAAAAGAAATTAAAAATTTCCTATATTAAGTATAGAATTGTTAAAAGTATAATATCTATTATTTAATATTGTCCCATTTTAGTAGAATAGTCCCTATACATGTTAATTATCTGGAATCCATACACCCAGGATTGCTGACACTAAGAGTGTTGTAGTAGTAAAGGTATGCTACATCCTGCATGTTTATTAATAAATAGAGATTGGGGATTATTTGACAGATGCCTTTCTTATTTCAAGCCCCTTCGTTGTTTTGTCTTTTTTCAATTTGCATCACCAAGCAAATACATAAAAGTACAAGATAATTAAGATTATGTAGTAGATCATACCTACTACTGTAATCGGATTCATGGGGTTCGTCTAGGCGGGACAGTACTAGGCGATTACACGAGTTCCCGGCGTACTACACCGACGCTTTTACTGTCCCTACTACCTAGCTTACTTCCAGCGCAACCGTTTCTTGGGCATCACCCACCCTCTCTACCATATACAAGACCAAGCTTCACCACTGTGTCGGGTTCTAGCCTAAGAGGGTATTCATTTCACTTACATTAACAGAGGGTCTCCAATACAAGCCTTGTGTTATCCCTACCCATCCTCTGACCTCGTTAACTGTGGGTACTGGATTTACTGGAAGTTCCAGACCATCCATCACCTGCCTCTACTCGGTGGCTGCAGTTTTTTCTGCGGTAAAAACTGTTAAAGGGGGCCGGCAAAAATTTCTAATAAGAAGAGATTAACCCCCCCCCCCCCCTCCTCCCCCCTCCAAGAGAGAACAGTGTAATAGGTGACGGAAGAAAGAAGAAAAGGGGGGGGAAAGATAGAGAGATTGGTTGAGAAGTAGGGGAGAAGAGATCCAGAAAGTCATCGAGATCTGTCAAGCGCTATCTTTCAACACGACTCGTTCAACCTTTTCTCATTTGTTCCTTGCCCTTTGCATAAGAACAGTATCAGAATGGCTGGTACAAGGAACTACGATTTCTTGGTAAGTTATAGTGATCATCCCTATCAATGGATTGAGCTAACCAACACTTCGTGTAGATCAAACTGTTACTGATCGGAGACTCCGGGGTGGGAAAATCATGCTGCCTATTGCGATTCAGTGAGGACTCATTTACTCCGTCGTTTATTACTACTATTGGAATCGACTTCAAGATTCGGACCATTGAATTGGATGGCAAGCGAGTGAAGCTTCAGATATGGGATACTGCTGGACAGGAGCGGTTTAGGACCATCACAACAGCTTACTACAGGGGAGCTATGGGTATTCTTCTGGTCTACGATGTCACGGATGAGCGATCATTCCAAAGTGAGGAATTCTTTTGATTTGACTGTTAATATTTATGTGCTGATGCTTCGGCCGATCTCTTAGACATTCGCACGTGGTTTTCAAATGTTGAACAGCATGCAAGCGAGGGTGTTCATAAAATCCTCATTGGCAATAAGTGTGACTGGGAAGAGAAGAGAGCCGTGTCAACTCAGCAGGGCCAGCAACTCGCTGATGAGCTTGGAATACCATTTCTTGAAGTCTCGGCCAAGAACAACATCAACATCGAGAAGGCTTTTTATGATCTTGCCTCGGATATCAAAAAAGGGATGGATACATCCAAGGCTGAACAGGTTGGATCTCAGGGTGTTAGCATAGACCAACAAGGCACCGGTTTGAACGGCAACACAGGTGGGAAGTGTTGCTGACTTGATAGTGTACAACTATTTTTTGTGCAAATCTCCTTCATATTATGACTTAATGTCTCAGTTTATGTGTTGCATTTGTGTGTATGTGCCATGGCTTGAATGCGCCAATATCTTTGCGAGCCAAATATATGCCAAGAATCAGATATGTTAATGGAGTTCTTAATGCATGTATGTTGATAATAAAGTTAGGTGCTTGTACTTACTATGAAAGTTTCCTTTTATATTTAATTAATTTAAAATTTATGGTAATTGTACTTGAGAGTACTAGAATAAAATACTACACTTTGGGGAAAGATTTGAACAAAGAAATATTATAATATTTTAATTATATAATGTATTTTTATCTATAAATTCAAATAAAGGAAAAATATAGCAGAAGCCTAAATAATATATTAAGACTATAGTTATTATATAGATTAATATATATAATTATATATATTGAATATCTTATATAATTTGCTATTCTGAATCTCGATTACATTATTTTGGTCTATATTTCAAAACTTGTATATAAATTATAATTATTTTGCTGAAGGAATTTATTACTTTATTAAGACATTATTATATTAAGCAATATTCAAAGTCTATGTTTAACAAAGTTTCAATGATATAGAGTGGCTAACAGTTAAAATACAGGTTAAAAATTAATCTCTTAAAAAGTATATTTAGATCTAAATAAATTATAAAATACAAGTTTTAAAATTAAATTAAAAAAATATCTAATATTTATTTATAAATTATATTTTAAATATTTTCTAATACAGCTAGTCATATATTTAATATATAATTAATTAATTTTAGATTTATTTTATATAATAAGTTTTAATTATTAAATATTTTATAATAATATCTATATATTATATAATTTAAAAATTAATTATATAATTATCTAGTTTAAATTATACTTATTATTTAAATAATTATCATATATTTATTTTAATTCTTATAAAATATTTTAATTATTATCTAAATTTCTTATCTATTATTATTAACCTATACTGGCTGTTAGCCACTCTACAATGATATTAGTTTGAGATGGTGATAATGGTTTTCATATAACCGACCCCTACACGGCTTACTGCTCTGAGAATTTCTATAAAATAATATAAAATGATTAATAGAGTTACTATATTAATATGATTAGATAAGATATATAATTTTTCAAATACTTATTAATTATTATACTTTTCATCAAAGTAAATATTTTTTATATAAAAATAAAGCTTATTAGTTACTCTAAGTTTCTAGATCTCTAGATTTATAAAATAACTAATTCTTACTTAAATATATCTTAATAAATTATTATTTTATTTTCTTTTATTTTATATCTTACTATACTGTTTTCAAAAATAATAATATATTTTTTCTTGAATTAATTAATCTAAATAAAATTATTGCTGCCAATAACCCTGTAGACTTATAAGTATCATATAAAATTTTATTTTAATTATATTAATAGAAGATATAATCCTGGAATAGCTTAAAATTTATTATTTTAGTACAAAAGTATAAAACACCAACCTGGAGGAATTGTTGCCACTGAGTCAAAAGACCAATATTACCCGCACTTACCTGCGGAGCCCTAGAATCCCATATATATACTCAGGTACACCCGGGAGGAGGTGGGCTTCATCCTTGTAAGGGTGTATTCCGCGGATTTTATCCCAGACACAAAAGATATTTATATTCTATATTTCTTAATTTGAATATTTAAAAGAGCTAATATTTATTATTTTTCAAATAATTATCTTAAAAATAAATAAAATTAAATCTATTAGAAAAAACCTATATCATACAGTTCATTATTTAAATATTTTGATTTAAATAGAGATAAAAATTAATTATTAATATCTTTTATAAAGATTTGGTAGCTAGCTCAACTACCTGTAAGAATTATCTTATTACATTAATATTTGTATATATAGAAATAACTTTAATATCGCAAGACTTCCAGCATTAGCTTAAATAAAAAATAAAAATAGAAAGATAACTCCACTTTTTTAGAATATTTTATAAATTTATATATTATATAGGATTTATAGCTATTAAAAATTATAAACTAAAATTTTTATAATTAATTTTATTATGCTCAGTTTTGGTCCTTTTAGAATAAAATTTATTAAAGTAATATCTTATAAATTATATTAGTTAACTTAAGAATTCTAATATATAAATTGGGTTTGAATTTATTTATTTATATATATCTTTTCTAACATGAAAACAAAATAGATTTGTCCAAAGAACTTCATTATTTCTATAATAAGTATATATTATCTATTTGTATTATTTATAATAAAAAAATATTATTTAAAATATGATATATTAATTTATTGATTTTTTTAATATTCATTCAAAAGTCTAGATATTTTTATCAAAGAACAGTATTACTAGTAATAAGGTTTTTAATTTTATATAATGAAGTATGGAATTAAATATTAGCAGAATATTAAAACTATTAGATAAAAGTTTGTTATTCACATTTTTTAGTTAATCAATAAATAAATTGATTAAAAAATAAAACAAGTTTTATATAATAACAAAGGTAATTTTAAAACTAATTATTAAAATGATTATAAGAATATTAGCTATATTAAGTATATAACTACAGCCGCGCGCAAGGCTATATAAAATCTAATATAAAAATACCACTGAATTATTTTACAATAATTATATAATAGAGATTTTATTTTATAAATTTCTCAATTCTGCTGTATACTGTTGCTCCTTATCACTCAGCTATAGGGTCCTATTAGCCAAGTATAGAATCTGTGGAGTTCCTACCAATATTTAAATTATAAATATATTTTAAATTAATATCTATATCTCAAGTACACATGTTTCTACATCGAAAATATTTTATTAAGTACAGGAAAAAGAATAATTAAATTCATATAAAAAGTTTCAAATAAATTATTTATCAAAAGTTTAACTTTATTATAGTAGAGTAGGAGTCTAGATTGTATCTAATTTCTAATAAGAATATTTTTAATTATGGTAGTTTTGTTTAATCATATATAGAATTCAAATATTAATATTTCAGCTTTGTATATAAATTATATAATATTAAATTTAAGAATATATTTTATTATATAGATAGCCTGCTGCATTTCACTACTAATTTTATAATAGTTTATAGATAATATAATAGTTTCAAAAAATATAACTTAGTGAATAAATAAATCTTTCAAAAAGAAAAGTATTAATATAGTAACTCTGTTGATTTATTAAGATTGCCCTACAGGCGACCTTGGAGCGGTAAGCCGCGTAGGGGTCGGTTAAGGTAAAGTAATGCGTCCCTATAGTAAAGTGGGGCAGGGGTGTGTGGATATACTTGAAAACCTAGTGATAGATTGCCAGGGCTTTTGCACTCGATATTTTGGATCTGGAACTTCTCATGGGTGATTTGACTGCGCCGCTCATCTTGACCATTGTCCTACAACAACTTTCCAACCCTACTTCGAGCCCGAGAGCTTTTGTTCCTTTCGCTAACTGCCCGTTGCATATTTTTTCAACCCTGCCCACTCTACACCTATTCCGGCCACAACCACATTGTCTTCTTTATCCCTAAACTGGCTGAAGCGTACGTACATTGAGACCATGCACCAAATCAATTCATGCTTCCAAGCAAAAGTGTAACACAGCCTATCTTGGCAATATGTTTCTAAATGTGCACTACCACAGGTTCCGGTGCCGTAAAAACACGCGCTCTCCGCTATTAGAGTTGAAATATTGGTCACTGGCTATCTAAACAGGAGAGGCTCTCTCTCTAAAGAGTGCCATACGCGATATGTCTGATACCCGCTTTTTTACCGTTCGACCACTCTCAAAGCCAACAAGGAACGACCACCGAGATGCCTTTCGCGTATATATGTCGTCATCCTCACTAGCCTTTCTTAAGCTGCGAGCCGGGGACGTCTGCAATATCCACATCACCGATGGACCATCGAAAACTGCAATAGCTTGGAATGCGACTGAGAATATACAAAACACCGTCGTGCAAACTTCAAGGACTCTCCAGGATTGCTATGGAGTAAAAGTCGGCGAGAAGATAAGCATCAGTAAGGCCGATAGTCCTTTGAAGGAGGTCACACTGGTTTCATTGGTAGAGTGTTCAGATGTTGATAGGATTGCAAAGTATGGTGCGATCTCTCCCTCCGACATGAACCACTGGTCTTGGTCTTTGGAACTACCTCTCTCAAAGTGTGATGCGATTTCAACTGGTCTGGTTTTCGAACTGGAACTTAGGGGCCAACGGCGGAGCTTTAGCGTTGCAAAAATTTCAAGTCCGGACCTGAGTACAGGTAGCACTCTGTTCAAGTTCACCGAAATGAGCAGAATATCGATGGGCGGTGATTCTGAGAAGCCTTTGGAGGACGACTTATCTGACATCCAGGTGCAGCCTATTGGGTTAGGTGGAATGGATAACCAAATCAACAGCCTGAATGAAAGCCTCGCTGATTTTAATATGAGCCGCGGCAGTTTAGTAATGCCACCATTTTACGCACATAGCCGAGGGATCCTTCTCTATGGTCCGAAGGGGACAGGTAAAACGGCGCTCCTGCAACAGATCGGTGCAGCAGGGTGGAGGAAAACGCTCAGCATTGGGTCCGCGGCTTTTGGTCGAAATATTGGAGATGCAGAAGTCAAAATGCGCAACATGTTCCAAGAGGCAATGCGTTGTCAACCTAGTGCAATCATCATTGACCAGGTCGAATTTATTGCCCCTAGACGGACGTCTATGGACACCCAGTCACTCAGCTCAGTTTTATGCGAGTGTCTAGATGCTGTTAAAAGTGCCCTTGTACTGGTTGTTGCTGCAACCCGGCATCCGAATGATGTTGATGATGCTCTAAGGACACCTCATCGATTAGCAATTGAGATTGAAATGCAAATTCCCACTGCACAAGATCGAGCTCGCATATTGCATGCTATTTGCGGCAGCCCATCCCCCACACTGAGCGACACGCTCATAAATACAATAGCAGAAAAGACGCACGGCTATGTTGGGGCAGATCTATTTGCTCTATTGCAACTCATTTGTCGAAAGGCACGCCAGAGACAAATATTGAATAGGGGACTTCCAATATGCCAAGGAAATAAATTCGATAGTGATTCGGCTGAAAGACTTCCTGCCGGAAAGACAAGCGCTTTCCTTGAAATTGATGATACTGATGTCCTATCAGCGATCCAAGAAACTCGACCCACTGCTATGCGGGAAGTGCTTTTGGAAACCCCCAAAGTTAGGTGGTCAGACATCGGTGGACAACATGAAATCAAGAGACGCCTCCAGAAAGCTGTCGAGAGGCCTCTGAGGGTAAGTACCCAGTTTTCAGTACCATGCTGCAGTTCTAACTACTCGATAGTTCCCCGAACGAATGAAGAGGCTTAATTTGAATAGCAAGAAGGGTATACTCCTCTATGGGCCTCCTGGGTGCTCCAAGACGCTCACTGTTAAGGCACTAGCCACAGAGGCAGGGCTTAACTTCCTTGCGGTCAAGGGCGCCGAGATTCTAAGCATGTATGTTGGGGAATCTGAACGAGCATTAAGAGAAATCTTCCGGAAGGCACGCTCTGCAAGACCCAGCATCATATTCTTCGATGAGATCGATGCGATCGCTTCAAAGCGGGGCAGTTCGTCACAGGGAGGTGTGAATGTTCTGACTACTCTCCTAAATGAGATGGATGGTATTGAGGAATTGAAAAGTGTTTTGGTTGTTGCCGCCACCAACAAGCCAGAGGTGATCGACCCAGCATTGATGCGTCCAGGTCGTCTTGACAATGTACTTTACATTGGACCACCTGATTTCGAGGCGCGAAGGGAGATCCTAAACATATGGTTTGACAAGTCTGTCGTTCACCCAGAAGTGGAAGTTGATGTGTTGGCCTTGAAATTAGAAGGATACTCCGGTGCGGAGATTGTCAGTATCTGTGAAACAGCGGGTGATGCTGCTCTGGACGAGGAAGAGGAGACTGGTGAAGCACAGGACATCCGATGGAGGCATTTTCAACATGCGTTGAATCAAGTAAAGCGACAGATAACAGCTGATGTTATAGCAGGGTATGAACAGTGGAGCGAGTCAGTTGACTTTTAAGGATTTGCGGCTCTGTTGACATGATATGAAAATGAATATAAACAACTTTGTAGGGTGACGCCCTGTACAACCATAGTTATAGTTCTTTACAGAAAGTTTGCATAATCCCGGTTGCCGGGCCTACCCGGGTGTTTAATCTATCACACTAAAATATATATATCTTGGCAAAGATTTAAAATATAACTTTAAAATTAATATATATAATAATTTAATAATTATAAGATTTTAATATTTTATATATTAGTTATTTATCTTAATTATTTTTTTTATTTTTTTTACTATATTATCCAGTATTTCTTCTTATATATAAGTATTAATTTAATTCTATAATATATATAAAATCTTTTAAAAAATATTTTTCTTTATAATATTCTTATTAAAAGTATTTTTAATTAAAAGATTAATATTATATACTTCTTCTTTTAAAAAAAATTATATATATTTAATTATATTAAGATTAGATAAATAAAACAGCTAATCTATAATTTTTAAAATATAATTTTAAAATTATTTCTTAATTTTATATATAGAATATATTAAGATATTATTTTATATAAATATAAATCTATTTTTTTTAATCTTTATACTAATTTTAGATAGAAATTAATTAAATATTTTAATATAAAAATTTATAGTATATCTAAATTTCTTAATTTTAAAATTATAATTTAAATAAATTAAATCTAATTAATTTAAATTTTATATTACTGTCTAAACTATAATTTAAAATTTTTTATTTTTTATATAAAATTAAATATAAACTTTTTTTAATTTTTATTACATATATTAAATCTAAAATATTATTAATTATAATAATCTATTTTAAATTTAATTAAGAATTTATCTGATTATATAATTTTATATTAATTTTTTAAAATATAACTTCTATATTTTATAATTTATATAAGCTATTTTTTACTATATTTAAATAATAATTTAAATTATTTTTCAGTCTGTTATTTACTATATTTTAATTTTTAAATAATCTAAATTATTAATATATAACTAATTATTAAATTAAGATTTTTTATAAATATTTAATAAATTTAAAAAATAGATTTACTAAATTAAATAATATCTTATATATTTTTATGAATGATCTTTTTTAAATAGTTAGTATATAATTAAGAGATATCATTAAATTTTAAAAATATATATTTTATTATTAAGTAAATAATCTATACAGACTGTTTTAATTATTTTATAATTTTAATTAATTTATAGCTATTATAATAAAAATCTAGAATATAAGTTTAATTAAATAGCTTTAGTTTATAATTTTATTTTAAATTTAAATCTAGAAGATAAAGAGAGTATCTTATTCTAATAATATTAATAATTAAAAAAAGAGATAAATTATTATATTAATTAAAAAACACACACGCGGCCTGATTTTAGTGTGATTATACAAACTTTCTCTAAGCTACTGTATATATGATACCACCAGGGCAAGTATACAACATACTGCCCCTACATACCGCCTAGAGCGGGTACAATCCCGGTAGATCCCAGATAGCCTCATAGAATTAATCAACTTATTAGATATTGCTATATATTTTGGTACTAATAATAGTAATGTATTATTGTAAAAGATTTCATAATTGTAAGAAATAATACTTGAGTAATTTAATTACTTTCATATTAGTATTTTTTTTATTATTTAATGAATTCGGGATTTTCATAATAATCTTCTTATTCATCTTAATTATTTATAATATTACTGATATAATGCAGCTATGTTTATGGATAGAGAATTATTCTATCTTCAGCTTATTAAGAATAGAATATAATTATTCTATCTTTAACTAAATAAGTATATATTCTGATAAATTCTTAAAAGAAATCTATTAATAATTATTAGATAGAAATTCTTAAATATTTAGATTAATAATATTATAATATTAAAAAATATTTTTTGTTTTTTTATTAATATTCTATATTTATATTTTAAATTATATATAAGTAAAATATCTGAGAGCTTTTATATTTTAAAAAATCTATTTTATTAATTATAAGTCTGATTTTATTAATTTATTAAATTATTTTAAAATTTATATTTTATAAGATTTATATTAACTTAATATTTTATATAAATTATCTAATTATTTTTATTTATATATTTAATTTTTAGATTAATTCTATGAATACTATTAATTAGTATATTTTTAATAAATAATCTTAAAAGTTAAATTATTAAAATATTTTAGTTATAAAATTTAAAATAGTAATAAGAAAATTAATTCTAGATTCTAATATTAAAATAAAAAAGTTTAAAATTAATAAATTAACTAAAAAAATACTTACTATTAATTTTATTTAATAAAATAATTATTATAATTATAATATTTTTAATAAACTATTAAATTTTTTTATAAGATTTCTAAAGAGATCTATAATAATTTTATTTTATTAAATATTAAATAATAAAAAATTAATATAAAGATTAAGATGATAATATAAATAAAACTAAATAAAGATAAGATTTTAATAATTAAAAATTTTAAATATATTAAAAAAATATAATAATATTTATAAAAGATTTATATAAGATTTTCTAAAATTATAAAATTATAGTAATTACTAAGATTAGATAATTAAAAAAAAATTCTAATTATATTAAAAAAAAGATTTTTAAAAATTAAAAATGTTTATTAATAACTAATTAATATCTATAAAGAAAAGATACTAGATTATAATAGTCTAATAATTATATAATATCTAAATAGCTTATTAAATAAATATATTGATTTTAGAATTATATTAATTAATTTAAATATATCTTTACTTCTGAATTATCTTATAAATTCTATAAATGATTATAAGAATCTAATAAAGAATATTAATAAAGAAAAAGAGATTTAGAATATCTAATTTGAACAAAAAAAGAATATAATCTGTTTTAATTATAAAGAAAAGATTATATAGCAAAGGACTACTGTTAAATAAGAAAAAAGAATTAAGAATTAAATAATTTTAAAAATAAAATTAAAGAGAAGGGATAATATTTAGATAAAGAATAATCTATTAATTATAAGAGATAATTTACTAATTATTAATTTAATAAAGAATTAAATTAGAATTATAATAATAAAATTATTAATAAAATAATTCTTTAATTCTCTAGATTAGTATATTATTATATTAAATAAATTTATATTATCGCTAGTAACTTTAATATTAGATCAAAATTAAAAAATATATTAATATAGAGTTTAGTAATAGTATCTAATCTAATTAATAATACTTTAATAATAAAATAATTTATTATATAATAAAATAGAGAGAATCCTTTATTTTTTAAACTTTAATATAAAAAAAGACTGTTATAGTGATTAGTAATTATAAATTATTAATTCAAGATTATAAAATAATTAAATTTAAGTTTCTAAATAGTTTTTTAATAAAATTAAAAGATATTATATATATTTTAGATATAGTAGATAAGCTTCTCTCTCTGAAGATATTTTATATAGATAAATATAAATTATAAAAATTTAAATATAATTATTACCTCTTGAAGAATATTCAAAATAATTATAAAAAGAATAATAATATATCTTAATATAATAAATTATTTTATAATTTTAATTACTAATTCTGGAAAAATTAAATACTATATATATTTAATAATTTCCCAAGAAATAGTTAAAATAAAAAAGTAGAATTTAATATATTAATATCTTAAATATTTTAAAAAATACTGTTTTAATAAATATATAACTTATTTAATTATAAAGATTTTATAGCTTAAAAAAGGATTAACTACTTAAGTTTAAATATAAAGTTTATATTTATATAAAATAGATTAAGAAGCCGAGTTATATTTTATTTTATAAATTATTTAATTTTTTGAATAAATTTATATAGATTTCTGAAATTTAAATTAAAATATAAAAAAGAATTATTTTCTTTTTTAATTAATAATTAGAGCTATGGTTTCTGAGTATATATTATAAAGTCTTAAAAATCTAAAAATATTCAGAAATAATCAAATATTTAATTTTAATATATAAAATATTAAATAGATAAGATACTTATAATTATCTAGATTAGTAATATAAAAAGATTTATTATCTTAATTTTTCAAGTTAATTTAAAGATACTAAATTTAAATTTATTAAAATAGAGATATTAGCTTAAAATAATATAATTAAATAATTTAATTAGATCATTCTAAAGATTATATATACTCTGCTAATTAAATTAAAGATTAGCTTAATATATTAAAAATAGATTATAAATATAATTATTATCTAATCAATTATATAATTATTATAAGAGTGTGTGTTGAGATAGTGTAAAGAAAGTATATCTATTGTAAAGTTAAGATAGTATCTATATTACTTAAAGTATTATTACTAGTCTTTTATCTAGCTTCTTTTATAAATAGATATATTTATAATAATTCTATAAATTATATATTATACTAGTATAATTATTTTATAAAAAATTATTTTTATAATATAAGTATTTCTTGCAATATATTATATTATAAAAATTATAAGAATTATTATTTTTATAATTATTTCTTTTCTTAGAATCTTAATTCTTAAGATTATTATTTATAAAAAATTAAGTATTATTAAAATCTCTATTATAAAATCTTTTTTATAAAAAAATTAATTAAAAAAAAAATAATTCTTTTTTTTTATAATATTTATTTTATATAAATCTATTATAATTATTTTATATAATTATAATTATATTATTATTTATTATATTTTAGATTTTTATAATTAAAATTAAATAATAAATATTATAAATATTTCTGTGATTATAATTAAATAATAAATATAATATAATATTTCTAATTTAAATATAAATTAGAACTTAGGACTCAGAACTTAAAATTTTTAAAAAAAATATTTTTTTTAAATTTTTTTTTTTTTTTTTTTTTTAATTCTCTTTATTTTTTAATCTTTTTCTCTCTTAATTTTTGCAGTCTTTTTTTTTAATTATTATTATTATTATAAGTAAGTACTTATTTAAAGAATTCTTATAATTATTTATATTCTTGCGACTGTTTTTATATTTTTGCGGCTATTTTATATTTTTTATAATTTATTTTATATCTTTATAACTATTTTTTATCTTTGTAATTTATTTATATTTTTATAG